AAAAAATAATTAAAAAACCCCGCGCCCGAACAGCCACAAACGCGGTTTTATTTTCTTTTGTAGCCAATGACAGTGATTTGTTAATGGAAGAGGGAATGGCGTTCACAATAGGTTAGTAACTCTCTGCTATGGTTGTCTTTTAAAAAGCACACACAGAGCAGCCCAGATCCATACCGTTTTTTTATTGGGATACAGAAATATCCATGCAGACAGGGGGATGTCGGTGACAATGACCCCTTAGGAAGCAGGTTAAAGTACCATTTTTTAAAAAGGCATTAAGGAACCAATTGGGTGAAATAGCTTCCAGATGATAAGATTTAGAAAATTAAATGTTTATTATAAATCTCATTAAATGACATATTTGATGCATATTTTTGGCAAGGCAGAGACTCTGCTGGCATGCTTGGGCTGGGGAGGGTGAGAAGGATGCGGCTCTGTTGCTGAAGTCGTGGCTTACACCAGCCTGGTGGCTACTGTGCCATTTGCTGCCTGCCAGAGCGGCGGGTTGGGTTTGGGGGCTGCAGCGCCGGTAACCAGTCAGAGCCTCGCCCCGCCGACTGAACGCGCTCAATACCAATCATGGAGAGCTGGTGGGGGAAAAGCCCTCTTTCTCACTGTGTGGCTAAATGGCGCGGCAATTAGAAGGAAATAAGAAAATTGTTGTTTTGCTGATTTAATGAACATTTTAAGCCTGTTTTAAAAATTCAAATATTTAAAACTATCCACTGTTTATAAGTGTGGTTGGTGCTTTGGTTATTATCCACGGGGTCTTAATCAAAGCTTGATTAAAATTCCCTGCTTTTACAAAAGAGGAATGGGCAACTTCCTACCTTGGTGCTTCGTCCTCCTCTTTAGTTCACATTTTAGTGTTTCAGGAGAGTGTCTGCCCGGGGAGGATGGGGCGTGTGTGGAAGGGGAGCTTCCTGGAACCTGCTGGGACACCCCCCTCTCTTGCTTCACAGTCTGCACGGGAGTGCGACTAACTTTAGAATACATTTTGTTTTTCTTGCTGCAGAGCCAATAATAATGGAAGGATCCCCCGAATTTAAGATTCTGAAGGATAAATGGACTGCAATTTCTTTAGACAATAAAAGGTGCCTGATTTTATTTTCTGATCTTTCCTAAGCCGTGGAACACTGACAGCCCCAACCCCCCCCCCAAAAAAAAAAAAAAAAAAAAAAAAAGGGGAGTTTTACAGGCATACAGACATGGTGAACACGTTTACCCCCTAATAACTGCTAAATGATGTGCATTTCAGATCAGCACAGTTTGAACATACCATTGTGATTACCTCAGAGGGAGCAGAAATCCTCTCTGAACTGGTGGAAGAAGCCTAAAGATGGAGCAAGAAGTGGAGGGACTTGCTGTATTTCTGGGATTTCCAGTTTCACTCGGGACAGAGAGGAGGTTTCTGTAATTTCTTTGGGAAATGGGTGCTGTGTAAATCGCTGCAGGGGTCAGAAAACGCAGCTTGAGGGGTTGGCTCTGGATAGTCCTTTCTGTGTGTTACCTGGTGAGTATTTAATAAAAGTCCCTTGGCTTGTTTGTGACCCTGGAAGCAGCCATGCACAGCCTGCAAGTGCAAAGGGTTTGGGTTATTTGGGGTGAGGGGCAGGGAGAGGGTCCCCTCTCCCAAATCCTGCATGGGACAAACATATCTGGTGACATGGTCTCTGTGCAGCTGAGAGGACAGAAGAACATGGTATCTTCCCCTTACAGCTGAACTATGGCTTCAGTTTGTCTTCACTGCACTAGCACAGTGCTGTTTCCCAGGCTGTACTTCTAGGATGGAAAAAAGTTTCCTGAGGGTGGCAGGCAGAAGGCAACAGCCTCTTCCCCCCCAGCCTTCCCAGCAGCAGCTCCCCACTTCCTGCCTCGGCTGATTTCTCTTTGCACAGCTCAAAAAATGATTAAAAATGAGATGCAAAGCGTGCTTCTCTGGAGATCAATAATTGCCCTGCTTGAAGAATTAGCCGGTTTGGGATAATCACTGCTCTGCAGTGCCCACGTTAGTTAAGGGAGAGGAGTTCCACAGTTCAACCATTTAACAGAAACGGAGGAGTTTGCGGTCTGGAGGAGGAGTCCCGGCTCCTGCCCAGAGTTTGGAGCTGATGGTCCTCGCTCGCCGCTGCACTCGCTGCCGTCCTGTCCCGGGGCTGCCAGGGCTGGAGAGTTTGATTTGCGATTAATAGGCTGCCGAGCGCCCCGTCGGGCCAGACCGGTCTGGCCTTGGTCCTTCGAGGCTACTGGACCAGGACCCGGTCCCATGAAATGCGGGGTAGCCTCGGGGATAAGCAAGTGACATCCAGAAGTGCCCCAGACCCGCGGCAGCAGCGGTGCGGGTTTGGCACAAATAACTTGCCGGTAACTGTGGGCAGGCGCGGGGCTGGGCCGAGGGCTGAGCGGCCGCGTATGCCGGCGCCCGGAGCTGGTCGGCATCGGCTCCCGCAGCAGTTCAGGGCAGAAATAAGCCGCTTACTTACAGCTTTATTCTGCTGTTTGTTTCCACTCGAGTACAGCGACC